TGCTCAGCCAGCCCACGCTGGACTTGCCACTATCGTCGAGCACCACGCTCAGGTGCACTACAGAAGCTCTGCACTTGCACTCCCCGCTGCCAGGAGCAGCTTTTCTTCTGGCTCCAGACCGACTCTGACTCATCATCCAGGTCTCAGCTCATGTGGCCCTTCCTCAAGGCCATCCTTGAGCTCCTCAGGCCAGGCCAGGGCCCCCTTTGGAAACTGCTATCTACTGAATTTTCTTAAAATTGGGTCACTGTATTTTCCAACCAAACACAAGCTCCCTGAGGGAAGAGATCACAGCTCTCTCCCACGGCAATACCAGAGAGAGATAAGAATGGAGCTGTATCCTGATGCCCTGCTGTGTGACCTTGGACAACTCACTTAACCTCTCTGTGCCTCAGCTTCCTCACCTGCAAAATGGGGAAGAAAAGAGCACCTCCCTCATGGGATGGATGTTGTCAGGACTGACGAGTCAGGGACCGTGCCTGAGCCAGCAGGGGTGGCTCCCCTCCCCCACCATTGCACCCACTCACAGCTGACCACTGAGGGCTGAGTCTGTCCTGGGCCACTCAGCTAATCGCAAGCAAAGCTGTCTTTTCAGAGCTGCCTATGCTCCTACACTCCATGCTCAGAACCTTCCTTCTGAGAGTTCTGGAGTCTTTCTTTTCCTTTTATTCCCCTTCCTTTAACGCAGGCCCTCACCATTATACACCAAATCCAAACTGGTTTTCTAGCAAGCAGAGCCTGTCATAGTCTTGCCCGGCTCAGCTAAGTGACAGGTGAGCTCCCTGAAGCTCACGGAGGCTAAGCAATTTGCCCACGGTCACACGGCTAAGACATATCACAGACGGGGTGTAGCCACAGGGAAAGAGAGCTACAATTCTTAGTTAAAACCTTGCAACGTTATAAGAATCAATATAAAAGGGTGATCAAAAATTTATCTTTTGTCTAGTGCAGCATGAAAATATGAACTATTGTATCATGAAGATGTGTCCATGGTAGCACGGAAATGCGTACCTTTCTGAACCTAGGCTCTGAGAGCCCAGGGCGCCGGGCTGGCTGTCAGCCTGGGGACTAAATGCATCTTTCTCAGACAGCCCAAAGGCAGAGGTGCAAGGCCTGGGCTTCAGTCAGGGGAGCTCCTTACAAGGTGGATACCGGTGGCCCCCAGGCCACCCCTGCCATGGCACTCCTTGGGGCCAGCCCAGGCCACAGCTACTGCCCACATCCAGCAGCCAGTCACACAGGCAGGGCAGGGTCTGGGTCCCCTCTGTCTGCTGGGGCCCCACGCCTGGTGTGCTGGGAGGCCCCGGCTGGCTGCCCCCATCCTCTCATCTGCAAAGCCAGGAAGAGAAGGGAAGGAGGAAGCAGCAGCAAACTGGGGACGCTGGGGCTGGCAAAGGGTAGAAAAACAAGGACCAATTTTCTCCTCCCCCTCAACCCCCAATTCCTAAGAGCAGGGAGGGGGAAAGGACACCGAAAGGCCCAGCCACAACTCCAGGGGTGAAGGCTAAGGCCTCTCCCTCCTGGCCCCATGAGGAGGTCCCCACTTTTCCCTCCCAGGCTCCAGGGGGCATGGGGAGGGCAGTGGTCGGCTGCTCCTGCTGGAGGATGGGCCTCCAGGGGAGGGGTGGGGCTCCCCCACAGAGGCAGGACCCCACGCCAGCTCCCATGGGGCCAGCCTCAAGCCCTGTTCCCCCAGCCCTCTCCAATCCAAGGAACCCTCCCCGGTGCTAGGACCTGGATTCTCACTGCTCAGGCCAGCCTGGGCTGGGGGTGCCTTGAACATCCCCCTTAGGAGAGAGATGGGCTCGCAGGGGAAAAAGAAAGTGGAAGAGAAACCAAAGCTCTCAGAACCCTGCAGGCCTAGGTGGAGCTTAGGAGCAGGCTGTGGGAGAAGGGCTGGGTGTGGATTCTGCCTTGGAAATGTTGGCTCTGAGGGTGATGGTGGCGGTCACCTGAAAGGAAGGGTCCTCCCTGGTCAGGCCCTGAGGGGAACTGACTTAAGACAGCATGAAATCCCCGCTGTGGGGAAGTCAGATGGAAGAAACAGAACTACCGGGTGCTCTCCCGGGACCCCCTCCTCCCCAGACAGCAGGTCCAGAGGTCAGACCAGGCACAGAATGACCAGCAGGGTGATAAGCACCAGTGCTGGACTCAGGCATCCCAGCTCCACCATTTACCAGATGGGAGAGAGAGCAATTTGACCCTTCGGTGCCTCAGTTTCCCCATCTCTACAACAGAGACGATGAGCAGACCACCACGGGGTGGGGCATGAGGTGCCTGCAGAGCTGGCCCCAAAACCAGCCATGTCCATCATTACTCTAGAAGGGCCCCTCCAGGTGCACCCTGGGTAGGTTATGTATGGCCTGGAAACCTTTGGGTTTGCACACACATGTGCACACACTCGCCTGCACCGCTTCCCCCAGACAAAGCCCTCATGGGCCAAGATCAACACACTTGGGTTGCAGAATGACTCACCACCCCTGGCCGGGATGCGTTTCCTGGAACAAGTCACTACAGGTAGGCCTGGGGGGCCTCTCTGGGGTTTAGTATGGCCCAGAGTCTGGTGGAGATGAGAAGGTACAGGTCCCAGCAGGCCCCAGCCATAGCCCAGTGGGATCCTGCAGCAGGAGTGGAGGTGACCCCAGTTTCAGAGCCCCCCAGGCCTGGATCCAAACCCAGCACTGACTGTCCATCTCCAAGCCTCGCCCAGAGTCTGGTGGAGATGAGAAGGTACAGGTCCCAGCAGGCCCCAGCCATAGCCCAGTGAGATCCTGCAGCAGGAGTGGAGGGGACCCCAGTTTCAGAGCCCCCCAGGCCTGGATCCAAACCCAGCACTGACCTCAGATATGTGACTGTCCATCTCCAAGCCTTGGCCTCCACCTCTGTAAAATGGGAATGTGGGTGCCGCCCTCATAGGGAGACCAAGGGCCCAGCAGGACCCACTGATAGGATACTCGCTATAGACCACAGGCAGCCAAGGTCCTCTGTTCTTTCTCCCCGTAATGTGCTTCTAAAGCCATCAGTGGACAGTGCCCTCCATGATGGTAGTGGTGGGGAGGAGGGACAGTTTCTGGTCACCGTAACTCTAGGGAGAGAGGAGGACTAAGGGAGAAGCTCATGACTTCATTGTCACTGGAAGACAGAAAGATTGAGCTTGTCTGCAGAGGGGCAGCTCCAGAGGATACCACAGGAGTTGGTATTAGCCTGGGCTCCGAAGGATTAAAAGGAGCTCCTAGACCATGAGATCTGTGAGGCCCCCATCCAGCTCTTACTGGCCTTGGGCAAGTCACTCACCTGGAGGCGGGCAGGTGAGTGGCACGTGCCACAGGCAGGTGTAAGACAGGACAAAGCGGTGGAGCCAGAGTCTGGGACAGGAGGGTGATGCCCAGGCAGGCATCCCACTTCTCATGTTGAAATGAAATTGCCTGGCCAAAGACAGCGAGTGTATACAGGCCGAATTCTGCCCCAGGGAGACTTTCTGAACTTTCGTCTCCTCAGCTGTCAAATGGGGTCACGTGAATAAGCAGCACACAAGATGGTTTGGAAAGGTACATGAATCAACACACATAAAGCCCTGACGGTGCCTGAAACGCTGTAAATACCCAATAGGTGAGCAAGTGCAATAAACCAAGCGGAGATGTGGGTGTGGGGGCGGAGAGTAGGGACAGTGGGAACAGAGGAGCAGAGCAGGACGCTCAGCAGATCCCAAGAAATAGCGATAGACCCCACTGGAGGGCCGGACAGGGCAGCAGGCTGGGCAGACCCCTTTCCTGCTAAGGGCAAGGCCCTGGAGAAAAGTCAACCAGGGCTTCAATCCAGACTGTCACTCCAGGCTATGTGTCATTGGGAAAGTCTCTTCACCCCCCGAGCCTCAGTCTCCTCATCTATAAAATGGGGGTGACATAAAGTACCTTCCTAGAAGATTGCTGTGAGAATTCTATGTCATATAAAGAGGCATATAGAGAGGAAAGGGGCTGGGAGAGGAGAAGGGGTGGACTAACGGGTACAAAACTATGCTGTCCACCCTAACAGAATCACTGTGCAGTATATGCATGCATTGAAATGACACACTGTACCCCACAAATATGTACAAGTAACTGTTAAAAACAAAAAACAAAAAACCAGCATATAAAGCACATACAACAGACATACCATAAACCATTATAATAATTATCAAATAAAGTGCAGGGCAGGTTTTTCAGCAGTACTGACATCTGGGCTGGATAATTTCCCATTGAGGGTGCTGTCCTGTATATTGTAGGGTATTTAACAGCCTCTGTGGACTCTACCCACCAGGTGCCAGTAGCACCCCACCTTCAGCTGTGACAACCTAAATGTCTCCAGATATTGCCAAATGTAGCTGGACTTGGAGGTCAGCACATGATAAATCAGAAAGACAGGTGTGTCTTAAACATCGAAGGTCTCAATTACAAGATCCATCTGGCCTCAGTTTTTTCATCAGCAAAAGGGACACAATGGTCCTTCTTTCCTTATGGGGTCCTAGGAGGGATCCCAGGAAATCAGAAGAGATATGGGAGGGAAAGGCCTTATTAGGCCACAAAGGGCCACATGTGGCCTGGACATCTGTCCACCTTCCCCAGCTCCTCTGGTGTGCTCGAAACTGACTTGTGCCTCAGGAAGGAGGACCCAGCTGGAATTCTGTACGTCCGTCACCCTGAGCATTGTCGTTAGGTGTGTAGAAACAGGATGGGGGGCAGGGCTGTTTCTGTGCTCACCGTGGTAACCCCAGACGGACCACAGTGCTTGGCAAACAGGCACTCAATAAGTGGTTGATGAGTCACAGCAACGAAGCTCGAAGGGCGGGGCAAGAAGGGACATATGCCCAAGGGAGGGAAGGGCCAAGGTGCCCGGCCACCGGGGCTGCAGCCGACAGACAGCCCGTTTCCTGTCTGCGAGTGCAACGCGCCCTTTGAACTCCCACTTCCTCAGCGGTCTCCCGTGGCAGGCCTCCCCCTTGCACCCTGGGGCAGGACACTCACCTTCCTGAAGGAGGCCAGCCCCGTGGAGCTCAGCCACCTCCGCAGCGCCTGCGGGAAGGCCCCGTGGTCCCGCTCGGCCTGAAGCACGTGGGCTTCCAGGAAGGCGACATGGTGCCCCACCATCTTGACGAAGGCCTGGCAGAGAGACGGGAGAGGCCCTGATGCCACATCTGCCACAGCCTGCAGCACATTCCTGGCCACACTCCCTCGGCCGGCAGGAATGTCAGGCCCTGTGACCAGCCTCCCTCCAGCCGGGCCCCACGGGCTTCCCATGAAGCCTGGCAGGGCCTGCTTAGCCAGAAGGGTGCCATCAAAAACCCTGACAATGACAGTAACCACTCCCACTGGTGGCTTGGCTCAGCCCCTACTTGCAGTCCCTTGCGTCACCTTTCCCCAATATGACCCTATTTTTAGTCTCCATTTTACAGAGGAGGGAAACAGGCTCAGAGAGGTTGGGTTACCTATGCAAAGTAACACAGCCAGCAAGTGGCAGAGAGGGGCCTTAGGGCACATCTGTCAGATTTCAAAGCCTCCTTTATTGAAAATAGATTTTTTAGAAATTGCCCAAACGCTCACTTAATAGTCGGTATACATCGGAACTCAGAAGCCACCAAGGGTCAAGCAGGAAATGAGCAGATGAAGAGGGCTGGGTGGGGCCTGGGGTGAACGGGCATGCTGGGTCCAGGACCACAGTGGCCACTCAACTCCAGACCTCAAGTGCAGACCTTCCAATTAAAAAAAAAAAAAAAAAAAAGATCTCTGGAGTCAGACTCTTCTGGGTTAGAGTACAAGTTCTACCGCTTACTAGTTGTGTACCTTTTAGTAAGTTACTTAATTTCTGTTAGCCTCAATTTTCTTATCTGTAAAATGGGGATAATAACCATACCAACCTTATTAAACAAATGCTTAGCATATAGTAAGAGATCATTAAATGTCAGACACTATGATTTTAAAAAGAAAGAAAAAGACATTCATACTTTATGAAAAAATCTCCAGTTTTTATCAACATTAGCAATAAAATCACACTTTTTCAAAATACTGTGCAGGTCCAGTAAACTTTGGCTCACCCATTTGTGACCTCTGGTGTGTGTCTTTTCATACCTTCTTCTGCTCAGCACATGTGTGCATGTGTTAATATGTGTGCACAGGCTAAGGCCACTAAAGATGGTGACTGTGGTGCCACCTCAGACAAGGCAGCACCTCTTTGGGCCTCCCCTGCCCCAACAGTAAAATGGAAAAGATTTTCTTGTACCAGGAAGAGGAATGAGGACATCTCAGTGCTGGGCATGTCAAGGGAGCTTCCCTTCACCAGAATGACATGTGCAAGGCCTGCCCCCATCCACCCCCACCCTGTCCCACATGCTTCCCTTCGGTTCCCAGAAGCAGAACTTCACTCTCCACAGGGCCCTTGCACCTGCCTCTCCCTGCCTAGCACGCTTCTCTCTGTTCCTGACTGGCTGGCCCTGCTTGTCTTTCAGGCCTTGTATTAACTGCCCCCTCCTCAGAGGCCTTCTCTGATCTAACACAGCCCCTGAGTTGCTGTGGAGTCACAGGTTTCCTTGTCTTCAAAGAGCTCTTGGCCCTCTAAGTTCTTGTCTACTCATGGTCTGCCTCCCTCTAATGTAAGTTCTGAAAGAGAAGGTGCAGAGTCAGCACTGCTCACAGGCCAAGCCAGAGCCTGGACCAGCAGAAGGGGCCCATCTGGATGGTGGGTGCATGAATACGTGTGTGAATGAATGAATAAGTGGGTGAGTGAGTGAAAAAGAGAATGCATCCTTAGCAAAAAGACACTGGATGAACCCAAGATGGTGGCATCTTGTCCTTCTGCTGCCTGGGTTCTGGCAACAGCAGGGCTGAAAGGCTGAGTAAGCCCCTTGGGTGTGTGTGCACGCGTGTGTGTGTAGAGGTGCGTGCATGTGTGTATCTGTGGGTCTGTGTGTGTGTGGAGGTGTGTCTGTGTGTGTGTGTCTATATATGTGTGTGGAGGTGTGTCTGTGTGTGTGTCTATGTGTATGAAGGTGTGTGTGTCTGTGTCTGTGGAGGTGTGTCTGTGTGTGCATGTATGTGTGGAGGTGTGTGGAGGTGTGTGTCTGTGGAGGTGTGTGTGTGCATGTGTGTCTGGAGGCGTGTGGTGTGTGTGTGTGTAGGTGTGTGTCTGTCTATGTCTGGAGGTGTGTGGAGGTGTGTGTGTGTGTAGAGGTGTGTGTGTGTGTGTGTGTGTGTGTGTGTGTGTGTCTGGAGGGGTGTGGAGGGGTGTGTTTGTGTGTGGAGGTGTGTGTCTGTCTGTGTGTCTGGAGGTGTGATTCTATATGCGTGTCTGGAGGTGTGTGTATCTGTCTATGTGTATCTGGAAGTGTGTGTATGTGGAGGTGTGTGTTTATGTGTGTCTGGAGGTGTGTGTCTGTTTATATGTGCGTCTGGAGGTGTGATTCTATATGTGTGTCTGGAGGTGTTTGTGTCTATGTGCATCTGGAGGTGTGTGTGTGGAGGTGTGTGTCTGTCTATATGTGCATCTGGAGGTGTGATTCTATATGTGTGTCTGGAGGTGTGTGTGTGGAGGTGTGTGTCTGTCTGGGGGTGTGTGTGTATGCAGGTGTGCGTCTGTTTATATGTTTGTGTGTGTGTGGAGGTGCGGCTGTGTGTGTCTGTGTGCGTCTGTGTGTGTCTGTGTGTGTAGGTGTGTAAGGGGGCAGACATGGGGCCGCGGGCTGGGAAGCTTCTAGCAAGGCTCCGGCCTGAGCTCGGCGGCCCCGCTGGGCCAGCACATCTGGTTGTAAACACGGACGAGAGTCCTGGGCTCCCTCCCTCCAGCCGATTCCAATTTCACGCTCCCCGCGCTAATGCCAGCCCGGCAGGGTGTGAGGCGACGCCGAGGAATGCGCTCGTGACGTCCCGGGTTCCAACACGCCTGCCAGCGGGACACCCGGCCAAGCCGCGGCGGGCGAGGCTGGTCCCGGCCAGGAG